TGAAATATATATATATATATATATATATATATATATATATATATATATATATATATATACTTTTATTACCTGAGTCACTAACTTGGCTAGTCCAAGTAAACAGTGTGTGTGTGTGTGTGTGTTCCAGCAGGTTCCAGGACCAAAGTGCGTGCGTCATCCTGGTTCCTGGTTTCACAGCATTGCAGAAAGCAGCCTGTTAGAAGCTGTGCCAGACCAGGTTCCTGATGCCAGTCTCAGGTTCCAGGACCAAAGTGCGTGCGTCACCGAGTGTCCTGGTTTCACAGCATTGCAGAAAGCAGCCTGTTAGAAGCTGTGCCAGACCAGGTTCCTGAGCAGCAATGCCAGTCTTGCCCAGAGAGGCCTTCTTCGAGTGTGGCACAGGAATAGGAGCGGTAGCCACCTGCTCAGAGGATTAGCCAAAACCACACAGCCCCACCAGAAACCCTCCATAAACACCAATTGCTTTCCAAAATACCTATTTTTGCTGTGAATACTGAAGCGTTTGTGTCTTTGGCTCACTATTTTGAAGAATATCACATTCACTCTATTTTGAATAACGAGTTTTGGTTGCTCTCATTTTTACATGTAAGCTCCATTATGCTTTTACATTTTAATTGAACATATTAATGGTTCTGTGCCTTTAAAAAAATCTTATTATTTTAGTTTTTTTAAGTATTTATTTTAGAGAGATATTAAATTATTCCCATAATAGTTTTATTTGGAAATGTAAGGTGACAAAAACTGGCTGTAAGGAGTGTAAGAAAAAAAGAAATTCTAGAAAAATGTCCTGGCAGAAAATTGACAGTACCTTTTCTATTAAGTTTATGGACATTTTCTTTAACCCTAAAACACAACAAAATAGAGTGCTGCAGTGATGACGTATTTTTGTAGGTCAACCTGGAAGAAGCATCACCCTGGTTCCTTCAATAAAAATAGGATTTTTCCATTGGCTTTTGAAATACTGCAAAAAAATGAACTCTGTGACTGACAAAAGTTTATAATACTTACACATTTTGTTCATCACAATAATCTTCCCAAATGAAGGCAATTTTTATGAATTTTAAAGCCTAAATACAATTGTGAACGGTAAAAAGCTAAACGAACTCACGACTTCAACGTCACCACCATAACACTTTCAAAAATACATTTTCCTTGGGAGTTTGAGTTAGAACAGTTTGCAAAAGCACAAACACAGCTATAAAGAAAACTAGTTTGTAGGTTAGTTTACCTGTTTGACGCAATGACATTAATGTCCCCAACAACCTCTGTAGTCCCATTTAGCCCCATGTTAGCACCTGCCTTTTTCAAGACAAGTAAAAGCTTTAAAAATCATAATGTGTATTACTGATGTATTTTATGTTGTAGAATAAAATGTGAAAATATCTTGAGTTTGTGTTAACCACAGACATTATTTCAGGCATTTAACCAAAAAGAAAAAAAACTAAAACAAAAGCCATGGGTATGAATTTTGTGTTTCTTGTTTTGCTCCTTTGATTCTCAAAGTGACAGCACTGTTGACTTGCATTCTATGAATCACCAAGGACCATGGATCCAGCTATAAATCATCTTTAATATTCTACTGAAGCAAGAAATTCTTCTACATCTTGGATGCCCTGATGGTGAGTAAATTAACAGCAAATTTTCTTTTTTGGGTCAACTATTCCTTTAACAATACTTTTTTGCATTAGGAACGCTAATTGGTTTTCATGCACAGTTGTTTGTGCCATCAACAAAGGGTTTTGTTTTTCACAGCGTTCCTGGTACAACATACACAGATTCTGCTGTGTGTGAATTTAAGAGGCTGTGTTTGTTTGTGTGGGACTGCAGTCAAGTCTTTAATTGAGGAGATGAAATATGCACTGACACTTTTAGAAAGGGACGAGAGTGCTTGTTTGCGCGGCTGGGATGGAAGGAATCACATAGGTAGCGGACAGATGGAAGGATGAATAGATATGTATGCGAATTGAACAGACAGATGCATCTAGAACAAGCACACAAACGTGAACCCACAATCATGCCTGCCACAGACAAGAATGTGTCCTTTTATTTAAATCTCAAGTACACAGTGGACCCAAAAAGTATATAGGCACTTAAGCCACACTTAATGTACGCATGTCATTGCATTACATGGAAAATGTCAGTTGATTTTGTTATCAAACGTATTGGTCACATTATATATATTATATATTATACATTAAAGCATTATAAAGCAGTTGTATTATACAATTTTTATTTATATCCAACAATTTCATGTAGGCCTGGGTATTGCAGTGGTGATTGCTTCAATTAAGGCAAGTTAATATGAATTTGTCTAACCAAAGGACAGTAAAAGCATGCTAATTTTTACTCTTCAGCCCTATTGGGCAGGAGACCCCGGTGCCACCCAGTCCACAGTAGCCGTTGGGGTTCTTGCTGAGGTACTGCTGGTGATAGTCTTCTGCATAGTAGAACTCCTTAGTCATTGTTATTTCTGTGGTGATGGCTCCAAAACCCTCTTCAGTCAGCATCTGTGACAGAAGGCTATTTATGATCTATATATAGTGCCATGTAGTGTATTTGAGTGCATTTTGCCTGCAGAGATCAGTGTATTATTGTTGTAGCCTTAAAGTAAGTTCCTATTTTATAATATATATATATATATATATATGTTTGTGTGTGTGTGTGTGTGTGACCCTGGACCACAAAACCAGTCTTAAAGGGTTAGTTCACCGCATCCTAGGTGTATATGACTTTCTTCTTTCAGACGAATCCAGTCGGAGTTATATAAAAAATTGTCTTTGATCTTTCAAGCTCTATCGTTGTACTCAGCGGGTGTTGCATTCCTTCTGTTCAAAAGACGTGAAATAAAAAGCACCCTTCCACAAAAAAAAGTGTCTCACACGGCTCCGGGGGGTGAACAAAGGCCTCCTGTAGCGAATCGATGCGTTTTTGTAAGAAAAATATCCATATTCAAAACGTAATAATCACTTTAATGTAGCTTTGTGCTGCTGTTTTAGGGTTAAAGGAAATGTCTGCAGACTTCACAAAAAATGTTCTGGCAGATCATTACCAATACCTTTTCAATTTCAACCTTTTCAATGTTTTTTTTTTAGTATACAATATGACTTCTTTTATTATAATTATTAAAATATAATTTGAAATTACTTAAAAATTGTATTAATGTAAGTCCATTAATAACCAGTTTTATTCTATTTAATTAATTAATAATTAAATGAATATAATATGTAATATAATATGTATATATATGTGTGTGTATATAAAATGTTATTAGTGTGATTCTATTAAAGGGGTGGTTCACTGTTTTTTTTCTAGGCTTGATTGTGTTTATGGGGTGCAGTCTAACATGTGTTAACGCTTCATTTTAAAAAAAACTTTATTCCATTTACCTTTATTCCACACCGCTCTGTCCCTTCTCTGAGAAACGTGCTGATCATTTCCTGCTTTTATGAAGCCCCTCCCTCAGAAATAGGCGATGGGCTCTGATTGGTTAGCTAGCCCAGTGTGTTGTGATTGGCTAAACCGCCTCTAGTGCGCGTCTAAATATTGTATTTGTATTGTAAACAACGGCGTCGTTAATATCACTTATCAGTTTGAGCCCGATTGAGAAGCAGAGAATATTATTGAAGAGGATCGTGCAGAACCTGTGCAAGCACGGCTCTTAATGGTAGGCCTATGTTTTTTGTTTGTTGTTGTCTCATACTTTTAGATACGCTGTTATTTGTAAATGCTACTGCTTATGTTAGCTTTTAATATACAGTTTTATCCTGATTAAAGCTTTAATACAGTATGGCAACTGCACGTACTGTGTTTAACGCTTCTCATAGCTATGTGTAAATAAGTGTATAATTGGAACAG